TGAAGCTACGACCAAGGCCAGGGCCAATTTTTTGAGGTGGGGGTACCTCGTATCGGCATCGACTAAGGTTTTGCTAATGTAATATATGAGAGATTGCGTACCTTTATCTTCTTGGACCAGGACCACACTCACCGCCACTTCAGATATGGCGAGATAGATGAGGAGGCGTTCCCCAGGTTCCACTTTTGGAGAGCAACAACGATGATGACATGTAAACCTTTAACTCCTTCAGGTCTTGGGTGCACTCGGAGGTCCACTGGAGGCTGATGTCCTTTTTGAGTACGCCGAAAAACTTGTGGCATCTGTCAGATGATCGCGAGATGAATCTTGATAGGGCGACGATACGGCCAATCAGCCTCTGAACCTGTGTTTTGGTGGTTAAGTGCTGTGGTATTCCTTCTATGGCTTTGATTTGGTCTGGGTTGACCTCGATACCTCATTGTGATACTAGGAAACCCAAGAATTTTTCTAAGGTCACGCCAAATGCACACTTTTCGCAATTTAGTTTCATTTCGTATCGCCTGAGTATATCGAAGGCTTCTTTCAAATGGCCGATGTGATCTTCTTTTCTTTTGGACTTGACCAACATATCGTCTATGTAGACTTCTATAGTCTTGCCGAGTTGATCTTTGAACATTTTGGTCACCAACCTTTGGTATGTCGCCCCTGCATTTTTTAGGCCAAAAGGCATAACTCTGTAGCAGTACGTTCCTTGATGGGTGATGAAAGTGGTCTTCTCCCGATCCCCCTCTTCCATGAGGATCTGATTGTAGCATGAGTAGGCATCTAAGAAACTTAGCAGTTCATGCCCATCCGTTATGTCAATGAGATAGTCGATATGAGGTAACGGGAATGAAACTTTGGAGCATGCTTTATTTATATCTATAAAGTCTACGCACATTCGCCACTTTCTATTTTTTCCTTTTTAACATGACCACATTGGCTACCCATTGAGGGTATTTTGACTCCCTAATTGAACCTTTATTGAAGAATTGAACTTCCGCCTAACCTGCCTCACCGGTGGGTGGAATGGGTCGACGTTCAACTTGTGTGTGGCGATCTCCTTCGGGATACCTGGCATATCTACATGGCAAAAAGCAAACAATTATGCGTTAGCAGTTAAGAATTGACGGAATTTATTTGGTTCTTGAAGTTTGCATTCGATGTAGGCTTTCTTGTTGTGGTCGTTATCATCAAGTTGGACGAGGTCGAGGTCTTCTATGGTTGATCTCGTGGCCTCTACTATTTCGGGATCTCTGATGAAGTCCTCTCTTTCGTCACAGCTCGACCTCGACCCTGTTAATTGCTATGTCTTTTTTGCCTTGCCCTTTATTTGTTGGGTGGTCGTGCAATCCAGGGCGATGCGGTAGCATTCTCGAGATGTGTGTTGTTCTCCTCGTACACTGAATATTCCCCATGGGATTGGAAATTTGATAACCTGGTACAAGTTTGAGGGGATAACCCTTATGGCGTGTATCTAGGATCAGCCTATTATGGTGTTGTACACCGTGTCCTGGTCCATGATGTGGAATGTGGTTTCCAGAGTGACGCCGCCGACCAGGACGGAGAGTGTGATTTCTCCAGATGTTCGTTCAACTGCATTGTTAAAACCTGTTAGCGTGATGCAGCACGTCACTATCTTATCCTCGAGTTTCATTTGTGCAAGTACTCGAGGGTGGATAATGCATGGGCCGCTCCCATCATCCACCATAATGCATCTCACATATGTATCTAATATTCGTAAATTGGTAACAAGGGCATCATAGTGAGGTAAAACCAAACTGTGGGTATCTGACTTATCGAGATGATACTTTCTTCGAGTTCATCATACGGTTTGTGAGTGATCGACCGTTTGAGCTTGTGGTTTATGGTGAACTTTACACTGTTGACCGAAGCGTCATCGCCTCCCCCAATGATCATTTGAATGGTGTGGATCGGTGATGGTGGTTTCGGCAGTCCCTAGTGTTGTTCGCGTCCTCGGGCAAATCTGGTCCTCACCTGGTCGCTCAACAATTCTTTGAGGTGTACTTAGCGAAGCATGTTTACGACCTCTTGCCTTAGGGCGATGCAATCCTCAGTTTTGTGACCTCGCTCTTGGTGGAACTCGGAGATGGCATCTAACTTTATAGTGCTTGGGTATGACCTCATCTTTTGTGGCCACTTTACCTTTGGTTCGAGCTTCTCCAATGCATAGACTATTTCTGAGGGTGACACACAAAAATTATGAGCGGATAACAAATGGGGCATACCTCTCTCATTCCGGTGAGTCCCTGTCCTTGGTCTATATAGGCCCTCTTCGTGGCGGGAGGGGGGCATGATGGAGTTTCTGATATACGACTGGTGTCTTTTTCGGTTGGGTCATGGAGCTGCGAGATCCCTCCTGACATCATTTCTTCTATCCTTCCTGGATTCGGCCTGTACCGAGGTCAACCGATGAGTTGGCCCATTCAGGTCATCCTCGTCTGCACGGACCTCGACACAATAGGCGTTGTGTATTTCATCCCAAGTGGTTGAAGGATATTTCACAAGCCGACTTAATAATTTTCTTGTCACTATTGAGCCATTCCTGTTCAGCCCATTTTGGAAAGCTGCTACAACCATTCCTTCCAATACATTTGGTAAGGTCATCCTTACTCGGTTGAATTGAGCAAGGAAGTCCCTCAATCCTTCTCCAGGCGATTGTTTGATGGAAAATATTTCACTCACTCTTGCCTCCGCCTTTTTAGTCCCAGCATGGGCCGTTATGAACTTGCCGGCTATCTCTTCGAATATTTCGATGGAACGCGTGTGCAGTTGTGAATACGAAGTTAATGTTCCTCCGGTGAGGGTCTAGCCAAACTTCTTCAACAAGATGGTGGATACTTGTTCTTTGGAGAGATCATTGCCTTTTACAGCAATGACATAGTGAGTCACATGATCTTCGGGGTCGGTCGTACCATCATATATTTTCAGATAAGGCGGCATCTTGAAGGTCTTAGGTATGGTATGTGGGGCGGCTTCATCAATGTATGGTTGCTCGATGAACCGACCAGCATCTCTTTTTGGCAAGAGTTTTGGGGCACCCGGTATTTTGTAGACTCTTTCTCGGTGATCTCTCATTTGGTCCCGAAGCACTTTGTTCTCATTTTTCATTTCTTCCATCTTTTTTAGAATGGCTGTGAGGGTGTCGTCACCTGCATTATTAACATTATGAGTGATACCTGTTACTGGAGGGAGAGGGATGCGCTGCTCGACCGTTGTCAGTGTAATGCAAGTCCTTGCATTTTCTCTAGCTGTCTCCTGGGCGTGTTTGTCGAAGATGTCGGTTAGCGTGTTAGTTAGCCATGCCTCAAGTAGTTTTTTCACTGCTGATGGCACCTCTTCCATCGTGGACGTGGAAGCTCCTTTACCGCGGGATGTTACGATACTGCCGTGAGGGAGGGGCGACCCATCTCGCTTGGGGGAGGCGTTAGGCGTTATATCCTCGCATTCTGTTTCAAAAACCTCATTTATGGTGTTCAAGAGGTTGGTGGTGAGGTCGGCCACTACCTTCATTCTTTCTTCTCCATTATCTGCCATGTCAGATCTGTGTGTACAAGGAAAAAAGAGTTTCGCATTTTTTTTTTAAACCGTGCTAGTTATAGATCTAGAAGAAACTAAAAATTTGACTAGGAAATTCCCACAGACGCCGCCAAATTGTTTGACCAAGAAATATAATCTCAGGTTAAACTGTTAAATTTATATAATGAAAGGTTAAACCTAGTTAAGGATAATAACTTTAGATATTAAGCACAAGGATGCACGATGGGAGAGATAGAGTTTGTATATGATTAATGACAATAAATATGAAATTTCCTTACCACTAAAACATTAAATGAGACATATCTAGCGATAAATGTCAATCAATGACATTTATGTAAATAAGGAGAATGATTCACCCGATAATGAGTAGACAAAGACAATATTCTGCCTGACAACGGTGAATGTAAGATAGATCCAAGATTTGTATGAACAATCCTTGGATCTGATGGAAACGTGTGGAATAATATGAACGAGAATCTTTATAAAAAGGTCTTCTTCTCCAAAAGTGTTCTTATCAAAATGAGAATTACCCTCCCCATCTCTTTTTCTATTTATATGGGACATGTCCCCAGTCAATCCTAAAAGGACAAGTATAGAGAATATTCAATGAAATATTCTCTTAAATATCTTATTACAAAAACTAGCCGTTAGTACTGTTCTTGATACTTGACCTCGACCGTTATTGACCGCCTGGCCACGAGCCCCATTGTTTACTAGTCGACCTCGACCACATCATTTTCCGTAACACCATTTCATGCTAAATTCCCTTGGGGGCAGATTTTAATCTATACAAATTATAGATTATAGGGAATACATAAAAGAGTAAAAGAAATCAAGTAATAGGAATCTCCCATAACTATTTGGNATGCTGTAAGTCAAACTTATAGATAGAGGCGGACGCAAGATTTTACGGTCTCAAGGCACTGTAACATTTAATATAAAGTTATCACTATATAAAGATTGATCCGAACGTTTATGCTAATATCTAATTGAAAATATTTGCAAGTATATATGAAGCTTTTGCTTGTCGATTACCTATTTACCTCTCTCCTTTGCTGTGCGTCCGCATCTGTTTATAGAGATTATTGATTCTTTTTTTTTTTTTTTTTTTTTTTTTTGTAATTAACAAACGTGTTTAGATTAGTTTGTGTAACTTGGATTTTTCTTCCACCAGTAATTTTGTATATCAAGGTAAAAAAATCACAAAACATATTTTATCCGTGAATTTAAACTTTAGCCTCCAATATTATCAGCTACTTTATTTTATTTTATACGCTATATCACCTACTTTATTTTTTTATAATTTTTTTTAACGCTATATCGCCTACTTTATTAACCAATGGGTTTATAAAATTTTCTAGTTTAGCCTTAAAATTATCTCATAGTTTAGTGTATGAAAATTGACCAATTAATGTAGAAAAATTAAAAACTTCGTCTGCTCCTCCCTAACGTAGTTTCCTATGCTTTATCCGGCCATCCCAAAATGAAAAATCCACTCAATCTCCAAAAACCCTACTAAAATACAAATCCAAAATGCTATAGACTTCTCCTTACTATCAGTTTATTAAGCCTTTCACAAATCCCAACCTAAAAGCTCCTCATTCTGTTCATTGTTAACCATGAAAATGTACCTTAATAGTGTTCTAAGCTCAAACACGTAAGCTGTATTTCTCTGTATTCTTCAGTACATTTTCTCTTACACCAAATGGCCACTTCTTTATCCCACTCTCCCCAGTTATTAACTTTCTCTTACAGAAAGTCTTACCCCTCTTTCTCATTCCCCAAGATTCAATCTTTCTTGCACAAAAACAGACAATTTCACTTAAAGACTCAAACTTTACTCCCCAATATTCAATCTTTCTTGCATCAGAAGGAAAAAATTCACTTAAAGACTCAAACTTCTAACCATTTGGGTCATATTCAAAGGGTAAAAAGAGCTTCTTGTTCTGATAGTTTTCTTGAGATAATTGAAAAGGAAGAGTCTTTACTGGCTACTGAGGAAAAACCATTGAAATTCCTGTTGTGGGTGTTGTTATGGGCCTCTGTATCTATTGGTTTATTTGCAGTTTCAGGGAATGCAAAAGCTGCTACTGCTGCTGCTGACTCTATTCGGGCTTCGGGCTTTGGTGTAAAAGTTGCTACTGCTTTGAGAAGTTTAGGCTGGCCAGATGAAGCTGTTGTGTTTGCTTTGGCTACACTTCCTGTTATTGAGCTTCGTGGGGCTATTCCTGTTGGTTATTGGTTGCAACTCAACCCTATTGCATTGACTGTCTTATCCATTCTTGGGTAAGTTTTACATTCTCTTTTTCAGGCCCTAAATCTGCAGCTTAATAAGGCGGTAATTTGAAAGAAAGATTGCACATTGGCTTCACTGTCCTGATTTTAAGTCCTTGAATTGAATGTCTTGTTTCATTTTTAGGAGTAATTTTGCTTGCTGTTCTGCATTTTGAATACCATTGATAGGAGTTAAAAAAGGTGCATTGGTGTGCTGTAACTGACAAGAGTGAGTTGCTCTAGTGGTGAGCACCCTTTACTTCCAAACAAGAGTTTGTGAGTTCGAGTCAACCCAAGAGCAAGGTGGTGAGTTCTTGGAGGGAGGGAGCCGAGGGTTTATCGGAAACAACCTCTCTATCCCAAGGTAGGGTAAGGTCTGCGTACACACTATCCTTCCCAGACCCCACTAGTGAGATTATACTGAGTTGTTGTTGTTGTGTTGTAACTTGAATTTTAGCTACTGATAATTAAATTCTTGAAGGGAAATGTCTAAAGAAACCATCATCTAGTCATTAATTGCTGGTGGTTTTTATTGATAACCAAGATATATCTGAGGGTTAGTGGAGCACAGTTCGAAATTGGGTGGATAGTGGGTCTAACCCTCTACCTTTCCCCTCTTAAATACCAAGCTTTTATCTACGGCAGGGTTCGAACCCGTGACGTGCACCTTATGCACATATCACGCGTTGCGCTCTTACCACTAGATCAAAGCACCGGGGGTCAATAATTGCTGGTAGTTGGAGCTTCAGTTGCTGTGAAAATGATGTCTATTGGTAATTGTCTTTCAATAGTTAAAGACTTCAGAAGCCATATTGTCTATGCTAATGTTAAATGAGTGAAAGGTTGCGATGCAAGTGTAGCTCATTCTCCAGTGCCTTCAAAATCATTATTGCGGATCCGGGTAGTAGACAGTTGAATCCAATTTTGACCATTTTCAGTTAATTATCAAGCTAGTGCTGCATTTTCGAGGGCATAGAGGGTGTTTGGCTAAGCTTATAAGTTGGTCAAACTGGCTTATAAGCACATTTTGGCTTATCTATGCGTTTGGTAAATACCCAAAGTGCTTATAAGCCAAGTGCTTATAAGCTAAAATCAGCCACAAGTCATAAGTTGGTCACCCCCAACTTATGACTTTTTAGCTTATAAGCACTTTTAGTTTGACCAAGGCTTTTACTAGTTTATCCTTAATTCTAACTCACAAAATATTTTTCCTTCCATATTCCTTGTTCATCTTTTTCTTTACAAAGAAACATTTTAATTTATAATCTTTTGTAAAGTTTTTAAGGATATTTTAGTCATTTTAATAAAAGAACAACTTATCAGCACTTTTCTACCAAACATATCAACTGCTTATTATCAGTTTCAACACGTCTATCCAAACACGTAAATGCTTATTTAAAAAATCAGTTTCAGCACTTAAAAATATTTTTTAGCACTTCAAGCTTGTCAGCTATTTACAATCAGCTAATCCAAACGGACTCCATGTGTCCGTGAGAAATATGAAAGAGAAGAAGTTTTATCAATGACTTAATGAATATGGTTGATATCTAAGTATATGTCAGATACAATTCAAAATCTTAAGACCAGTGAGGGACACTATTACATGTATGCATATCTAAGAAAGTCCAAGTAATTATCTAAGTCTATTAGGGAGTATTGTTTTACATTAGTTAGAGTTCAGAAGCTATAGCGATTGTGTTAATCAATATATGAGTGGTGTAACTCATTTTCACTTTGCTAATGATGAGAACTGGTGCTGCATTTGTAGGAACATGGTTCCCGTCCCCTTTATCGTGCTCTACCTAAAGAAGTTAGCAATTTTCCTTGCTGGAACGAACAAATCAGCATCAAAGCTTTTGGATTTTTTGTTTGAGAGGGCGAAAGAGAAGGCAGGTCCAGTACAAGAGTTTCAATGGCTCGGTTTAATGCTCTTCGTGGCAGTTCCATTTCCTGGAACCGGAGCTTGGACAGGAGCCATCATAGCTTCTGTCCTCGATATGCCTTTCTGGTCTGCTGTTTCAGCAAACTTTGTTGGTGTCGTCTTGGCTGGACTTCTGGTAAACTTGTTGGTGAATCTTGGACTCAAGTATGCTATTATAACCGGTGTAATACTGTTCATTATTTCGACATTCATGTGGAGTATCCTTCGAAGTCTTAAAAAACGCTGAGCTCATCAAGCTGATATCAACACCTATTGAAGTTTTGAGATGATCAGTATAACCCATTATGGATAAAACAGTAACGATGAATAGAAAGAGAAGTCTTTTTCTTTCTTTAATCGATCAATATTACAACTTTTCCTTCACATGTATATTGCTATTATTTGTATTGGGCACCATCATATCATCCCATCTGATCAATCAAGAATACCTCAACCGGATAAATTCACCTATCTCACACAATTCTTCTGATTATGTATTTTCCTCTTTACTTTCTATATGCCTATGTATGCAATGATAGTGATGGAGTACCTTAAGATCAACAGAATTCTAAAGTCTGTGGAAATAGCCTCTTGTAGAAATGCAGGGTAATGCTGCGTACAATAGATCCTTGTGGTTCGACCCTTTCCCGGACTCCGCACATAGCGGGAGCTTAGTGCATCGGGCTGCCTTTTAGAATTCTAAAACCCCGGAACCAATCGTTTACTCCATATTGTGTCTGTGGCAGTGGCATTGCTTTTAGTTGGATCATTTTACAGAATCCTATATGTCTTCCATGTAGAAATGATGATAGACTTTCTAATAGAGACAGAACTTGTAGGTATGTGTATTATGTAGTTTGTTTTGGGGATTATTCAGGGGATAACAGTTTACAGCACAGCATACTGATGAGATGCTTTGTCCGATAAACTACTGCAGATGGAAATCTCACACAACCCGCTATATGTATGTTCTTTTATATGTATCATCCCTATAAACTAAGTCCAAGGACCTGATACAAGCTACCTTTGTACTTCTAGTTGCTTGTGTGTCGAGTCTTGGGGCAATGACTGAGGGTTGGTTTTCTAGAGAAGGATTAACTTAGTTAGCTTTAAGGTGAAAAAGGCTCAGCTCAGCATCTTTTTTCCTGTTCATTTGTGAAGAGGTTTTTGAAAGATTCATTTAGGCAGAAGAAATGCTTATTATGACATATTTGTCGAGCTAAATGCTTCATAATGAGATCAATTATGTGACTGTTTCCCCTTTGAATAGTGTATTTTGAAGTAGCAAAGTAATTTTGAGATGTGCTTTCCAGTACTGAGCCAACTTCACTACCTCCCACCTCACTGTTATACCTAAAGTTTTGTAGATTTTTAGTGTCAATTGTACATTTCACCTTGAAAAAAGTTTATGTAAAAGAATTTTTCAGTGTAATATCTATCAGATTTGACTATTTTGCATCTATGGGAAGTAAGAGTGATCAATTGAAGATTTACTAGCCTTTTTACTCTTTTGTTTTGAGAGATGGAAGGTGGGTTGCTGTTGGGGTTGTATCCTTTGGGGGAGGGGGAATCAACTGATAAATTAATTGATTGTTTTGGGACATCTTTGGGCCTTGTTCAGTGAACTACTTCTCTACTAGTAGCATGAGTTGAGTACCTCTCCTAAAAGATTTTGGGCCAGTGAAATGTTCTACTATGCAAAAGCTGGAAATTTTACAAAAAGAAGAGTTTTTTTGGTTCTATATTCCTTTTTGTCTGAGAGGCATTGAAGAGTCAGATTTAAATCTTTCATTCTTCCCCTAAATAGAAAACTTTGTCGTAACACATGTGAGTCTGAAGAAGCAAGTCCGATCATTTAACTTTAAACTTTTGATAAGCTTGCGTGGCATATTTGAATCGTTTGAATTTTGAAGTATAGCTTGTAACGAAAACGTGAGAGAGTTGTTGATGTATAATCTTATAGTGTTATACTTTCTCTATGTAGATGTATAAGATATGGTATAATTAATATATTATCTATATATACTAAACAGTCAATTCGACCGGCTATATATGTAGAGCTTCCACTCCATTTTAAGTAGCAGTACCATAAAAACAGTAAAGTAATAACTAGAAAAATATCAAAGTTTAATATTAGAATAAAGTTAATTGAATTTGATTTTGAATAGTATAGGATATTAATATTAGTGGAATGATATGAATTTCTTTTTTGCAACATTCATATTTTAAAAAAAAGGTCATACAAATTGTAATATAAAAATTCATCACTAGCATCATTTTTCTAGTTCTAGTGAGCTATGTTGTTGATCGTTTCAGATATTTAAAGATGATATTTTTTAAGAATCCAAGCAAATAACTAGTGATTGTTATCAGATTCCCAAACGTATTTTTGGTCAGTTAGGAAATAGGCAGAGAGAAGCTCATGAACACATGAAACGGCAATATACTGTTTTGTCAAAATGTTCTCTTTTCTGACATCTAGACATGGGTAGTGGGTCCCATGAGAGTGACCCTACACGTGTGACATCACCACTCTCCTGAAAAATAGGCCCCCCTACAAAGCCTTGTCTTGTCACCAAACCCCAATTTCTTCGTCAATTGGGCCCCCAGTACAGTATGTTTAATACCGATCTAGTTTACTTTTTCTAACAACTATATACTGAATATACAACATTACACATAGATTATAATTCTTTTGTTTCAATTTATTTGAACCTATTTTTTTTTTAATCCGTACAAAAAAGAATAACCTCTTTTCTTATTCGAAAATAATTTACTTTTATGCAATAATTTATAGTCACACAAAATATATGTGCTTTATTCTACACCACAAGTTCAAAAGTTTTCTCTCTTTTCTTAAATTCCGTGCCAAATCAAATAAATTCACATAAATTGAAACGAAGTGAGTATAATTGACGATTATTTTTAATTTAAGCCATTAAATGAGTAACTATTTAGATTAGTTCTTCATTTTTCATACTTATCTATATGGCGTGTAAAAGAAAAAGTGAAAGCGACGTACTGGGCTCCACGGGCCCACTTTCCTGTTTCTCTCCGTGCACACCCCGCCACGTTGCTTGGCCCATCTACGTCTGGCATCTTATGGTGGGGCCATTGATCTTCCTTCGTTTTCGTGGCATTTTGTTTGACTACCAGACACGTGTGAAATCTTGGTTCCCTACTTGTCAATACTTCATTTGTCTCCTCCAAAGTATCAGATTTTTTTTATTTTGCCCAATTAGGTTTTATTATTGTTGATATCTAAGTACATAAAATTGCAGAAACTAAGTTGAACAAAAGTCACTTTTGACATGTCCTAAAGTCTAACCCAAAATACGTGCTACCAAAATTTGTACTAATAACTAACTTCAAGAGATATATTTATTTAACTTGAAAGTTTTGGAAAGCAAAACCGTTTTTCCTCTTTCATTTTATTGGTAGATATATGAGCTTTGTTAAATTATAGATTTTTCGTTTATTTCAAAGGGTCATCAAGATCACATGTTATTTATTTAGACTTCTAAAGTTATAACCAGAAGCAGATCCGATATTAACACTACCCAAATAAAATATAAATATATGAAGATAATTATTCAAGTGTACAAAAATATAAATTTAATTCGAGACGACGATAATACGGACATCTGTGTCCCTACGAATGTGGGATCTGCCCCAAACTTCTCAAGATGTAGGTTAGTTAGTACTACTTTACACCAAAAACTATTTTTTTTTGAGTTAGTGGAACATTGCAATTGGTTTCAATTTTAAGCTTAATTCCCACATGGTCTAGAAGTTCTTAGAATAGATTAATATGAAGCCAAAAGTGACATTTCATGGTTCTTAAGTTACGCAAAAGCATTAAGGCGGCTCTTCTTGAATAAGCAATTACTAAATTAAGCTGTTGGGCTCTTGCTCATGCGGAGTCAAGATTTCGAACTTATGAGTTTGCGATTCTAATCGTTTTAAGTTATTGAGTTTTAAATAAATAATTTATACATATTCAATGAATTTTTTAAAATAAATATAGGCTTCGAACCAAAGTTATTGGATTCGGCCGAACCCGCTCCCGTCATTCTAGCTCCGCCCGTGCTCTTGTATGGCTCTTTAACACCTCCCTCATCTCTATTTCATCCACAAAACTTGGATCAGCATCATTAACAAAGAAAGCTACCTGATTTGAAGCAAACAAATGAAATAGCTGTCCTTTGCTTCTTGAGTTTAGTAACTTAGAGACATACTATTATATTTTTGAATAATAACAATGACTTCTCGTACAAATACAAATCAATCCCTTGTGCAAGTGGTTATGAGTTGCAAGTATCAATTGTATGGCCTCTCTCTACCCCATTTAATAGCTACATATTCCTACATTTTCCACTTGAAGCTACTAATATTAGGGAGAGGTCACACAACCTCAAGTCACGGTCTATAAGTTTATTCGTTTTCAATTTGGTTTGATTATAATTGTGTATACGGTCGAAACTGATTTCGGCCTTCGTACGATTTGTCGAGATGGGATCATAGTGGACCGAAGAAAGTCTTCATAAAATCGAGATGGATCCGAAGATGGCACAAACGAGCTTCAGATTTCAGGTACATGTCAAATACCGAGCTCGAAGTCATTATCGAGCTCGAGTCCGAATCGAATTATGATGAGATGTGATTGAATCAAGCTTAAGGGCCAGAGGCCAACCAATACCGAGCCCAAGTCATTACCAGGCCCCGAGTCAGCATCGACCTCAAACCCGCATCGAACTCTAAAGCTGGAAACCGACCAATATCGACCAATACCGAGTCCGATCAGGATCGAGCTCATAGACGAGCCGTTGCAGCCGCACTAAGGGAGAGAATCTCGGCGGGAATTAGGAAAAAGCTGATTTACCATGGGTTTCCCACTTTGTATTTTTAATTATATCTAAAGTAGGATCCCCTACTATAAAAAGGGATGGCTATATTTCTGTAAAAGAACAAGTTTTGCATACATTGTAACTGGGATATCATACACTCCTATATTGAAGAGTTATCCTTTTTAGCTTCATAGATTGATTCATCTTGCTTAATCCATTAATCATCTTCTTTCCAACCTTGTTTATTTTTCATTCTCTACAGTTGCCACTCGATATTTCTATTTATTCTTACGATTTGTGTCAAGTTATACCACATACCCTTAGAACTACATACAAATTCAACTCTATCTGTTTTTTGGGTAAACAGTTTGGCGCCCACCATGGGGCTAAGGATAATAGTGATTATTTGATATGAATATGTAAAAACACACCATTTTACGCTTATTTTCGGAAGTGCCTTTGATTTCGAATTAACAATGACGAACTCTCAAATTAAATGGCATTACCTATCGACAACGAAGCTGGCCTTCAAGATGAGAACAACAACTTGACGCCCAGGGACGGAATGCCGCTTGTCGACGTCGTTGGAGCTCGAGTTGAAGTGCCATTAGACGTTAATTCGCA